ATTACCTATAATTTTTTTACCCGTAACTCTAATTCTTTATCTAAACTTTGTGTGTTTACGTTTGTGACTCCTTCATGCTAAAACGGCTAAACTAATGTAATTGAAATTCGCAGTAGACCTAGATTATGTTTTATATTAAAGTACTAGAGACTCGGTCTCGCTTCGATCGGGTTTCCTCCCAAGGTGCGTTTTAACGGTAAGTATGAATAGGTAGACTATATAATATATATACTTAGGTAAGGTACAATGAGCAATTATGGGTTATATTACAACATGTTTCCCCGTGGGAAAAAAGTAGCCTATGTCACTATCCAGCTCCCCAATTATCTCCACACCAAAAACAAGCTAATTTATTACTCTGCTGTGACATGAAAGAAGGACAAACAAACACACTTTCACATATATAATATTAGTATGGATAGAGTAATTTTATCAACGTATATATATATAAAAGTAATTCATATAAAGTATATATAAAAGTAATGTAAATAAGCTTAAATTTTAGGGTTAATATGATGATGATGTTTTCCTAGCCGATTCCGGCTACGGCGGCCAATCTCATTGAGATTAGCCAACTGCGCAGGAGATATTATAGTGCTCAAGTGTACGCGCAGACAAGTGCACTCTCTATTCCTATCACTCTCATACTCCGGTGGGACGACCACTCGACACGACCGGTGAGAGTTAAGGCGCAGGTCCGACGGCTTTACGTGCTCTCCGAGGCACGGGGGTGAAACACAGCCAACTTCCCAACTCCGGGCTGTTACTGAGACTTACTATACAGAAAGACTCAATAACTAAACTTGGCCCGACCCGGGACTCGAACCCAGGACCTCCGGGTGTGCAGCCGTACATGCTAGCCACTACACCACCGAGGCAGTTAGGGTTAATATAATAATGCTGTAATATATAACCTAGAACAGTGAGAGCTTTCAATTTATGGAGACCTTCCCAAGGACTAGATACATTACTGATGATTGAGGCTATGTGGCTAGCACTTTACAAGAATCGAAATTATTCGCATATCTATACTAATATTATAAAGACGAAAGATTTGTTTGTTTGTTTGTACTGTATAGGCTCCGAAACTACTTAGCCGAGTTAGATGAAATTTAGTAAGAAGATAGTTTAAGATCCTGGGGAGGACATAGGATAGTTTTTATCCCGGAAATTATCGTTTAAGGTGGTGAAAATGGGAATGAAAGTTTGTATGGAGAAGCAACCTAGGGACGTTTGTTTGTTTGTGAGTTTGTTTCCCAATTAAAATAAAAATGATTTTTTTTGTATGTAAGTATATAATAATATATATATATATATATATATATATATATATACATATATATATATATATATATATATATATATATATATAATATAATCTATATGCCATTCACCCTATACTTAACATCCGCTATACGTATTCGAAATAAACTTAAAAGCTATGTTTTAATATCTCCATATTACATATTTTAGCCTATACAGTTAAAAAAATCTCCTTATATCCGTCTTACGCTTATCTAGTCCTATTTTAAAATGCCTCGGTGGTCTAGTAGCTGGTATGTACGACCGCAGATCCGGAGATTCTGGGTTCGAGTCCTGAGTCGGGTCGAGTGTAGTTTTTCTATCAAGAACTTCTTAGTAATAACCTGTATTTGGGAAATTGGAGGTATAAAATTCGCCTCCGTGCCCCGAAGAACATATAAAGCCATCGGTCCATGCACGTATGTTTGCGCGTACTCTTGTGCACTATAATATCTCCTGCACAGATGGTTAGTTTTAACGAGATTGGTCACCGCGGCTGAAATCTATTAGAACATTATTATTACAATTCTCGAGTAATGCTTGGTTGAACAGTTAGAAAGACAGATAATCGGCATATTAATTAGTAATATTATTGTGATAGGCAGTGGTAGCCCAGTGGTAACGCGCTCGCTTGGGAAACCGAGTGAAGCGGGTTCAAATCCCGGGTCTCGCACCTCTGATATTTTCATGTGCGAATCATTTCTAACATGATTACCACTTGCCTTACGTTGAAGGAAAACATCGTGAGGAAACTTGCATGTCTGAGAGAACCTAGCAAGTTTTCGAAAGACATGTGAAGTCCGCCAACCCGCACTTGGCCAGCGTGGTGGACTATGGCCTGATTCCCCTCGTATTGAAGGGAGGCCCGTGCCCAGCAGTGGGACATCAAAAAGGGCTGAATACATACATACATTATTGTGATATTTTAAAAATAAAAAGAAAAAAATGTTTGAGTTATTGCCACTTTGGTCGTTAGTTTTTATTTTTGTGCAGCTTGCTTTTACGACTTATTGTATATTTTACTAAAATTCACACTCTGTCACAGCGACCCTCGTAAACTAGGCGGTTTTATTGGGAGAGAATGAAAAATGCATATTTTCTTTATATATGTTGTAAAATAAACTTTTTACGATACTATTTCATAAAATATTATAGTTATTATCGGTGACATCCTACAAGATATAATGGTTTTTATCTAGATAGTATTATTTTTGTAGCTGAATTGAACCGAATTTTACTTATAGATATTACGAAAAAAAAAACTAATGTAATAGCACCTTTTTTGTCGACTCGGTTTCCTTCCAACCTTCTACATATGAAATTTTTAATACCCTTAAAATCTTTCTAGAGAAATAAAATTCATAACAGCAGAAATCCTATTAAAATCCAGTATTTCTGGATACTTGCAGGCACATACATACAGACAGACACTCACATAACTTCCCTTTATATATGTAAGAGTAAGGATAATTAATCTATACATATAATAAAATTCTAAGTCGAATCTGTACATTAAATATTTTTTTGGAAATTCTTATTGAAATAATCATTATTATCGATACGGATGTCGGATCTATAGTTTTTAGATTTTTTGTCTTTCTTTCTGGGAGCGCATCACGATAAAACCACTGGACAGATTTTAATGATGATAGGTGATTATCCGGGTCAACATATAGGATAATTTTTTGTGCGGGGAAATATCTTATCTCTGAGAAATCTATACTAACCGTTAAAACGTACCTAGGGGCGAACCCGAGTGGAGCGAGGGTGAGTCACCAGTATTATTGTATGGTTGACCAACATGGTAGAAAGTGCAAAATAATACTTTCTTAGATTTACGCGAATATTTGACATTTTAAATAAAACTATCTTTTCGGATTATTTCGCGGATTTATTTTGATTTTTGGTCGTTTCGAATGATTTACAGCATGACTTTCTCTAAGAGACGTCTATAACCTCAGTCTCTTCCGTGACCATAATTGCTGTAAAGCATTTGAAACGTCGGGAACCAAAAATCAAAATAAATCCGCGAAATAATCCGAAAAGATAGTTTTATTTGAAAAGCGCAAAATAATTTAATATCATTCTTAATTTGTGAATTTCAATTAAACAAATATTATTTAATCATTCAACATGCGGCATGCAGCGGGTAATTAATTGGATCTTATATGTAAATGGGCTGGAACTCGTTCAAAGCTAACAAGATAACCTACAAATGATAAGATTATTCAATACTCTTATTACAGTACCTAGTTTTGATTGACGCTAAAATTCTAAAAGGTTCTATCTTCATTAATTCAATTTGGTGCAATTTTTATATATAGATACAGTGGTACACGTATGCTACGCGGTATTCTTAGCAATTGTGAACCCGTTTTCATATTTTTTTATATAATAAGTTTTATCTATATATATAATAAAATTGTAACTAAGTCGAATCTGTACATTAAATATTTTTTGGAAAATCTCATTGAAATAGACATTATTATCGTATACAGTCCGAATCTATAGTTTTTAGAATTTTTTGTCTATCTGTCTGTCTGTCTGTCTGTCTGTCTGTCCGTCTGTCTGTTACCGCATCACAATAAAACCAGTGGACAGATTTTGATGAAATTTGGTATGATGATAGCTGGTTATCCGGGTCAACATATAGAATATTTTTTACTTCGGGAAAATATGTAATCTCTGATAAATCTTTTTACCGCGGGAAAATATCTCATTTCTGAGAAAAAATACAAAAACTGCACTGTAAGAGTATACTAATATGTAAAACCTAAGAATTTGGTTTTTGGTCATCTGAACGCGGGCGGAGCCGCGGGCAATGCTAGTCTTTATATTATTATTCCATATTATGTCTTTATATATTTAGTCTTTATATTCTTTGTTCGAACTTATTAAGCATTTTAAAGGATAAATTTTCAAAATTCGAGGAAATGGAAGAGTGTAATTTAAAAAAAAATTACATACATCCGTGTAATGTTAGATTAGTCGTGCAATAAGTTTACTGACAAATTCGTGTGAAATCGCAGGCAGTTAGTGCCTAATAAAATGTTTAATAGTTCTTCAATATTAACAATCTGGAAAACTTTAGTTTTTTTTTATTTCAGAGCTATCCCTAAAATTACTTACTTTTAATTATCTTGAAAACTTTTTTTTATTTGTCTGACAATAGTATACCTACTTGGTGAACAATAAAACAATAATAAAACAATAGTAATGATAATATATAAAACTAGCATTGCCCGCGGCTCCGCTCGCGTTCAGATGACCAAAAACTAAATTCGTAGGTTTTACATATTAGTATACTCTTACATTGCAGTTTTTGTATTTTTTCTCAGAAATTAGACATTTCCCCGCGGTAAAAAGTATCCTTTATGTTGACCCGGATAACCAGCTATCATCATAATAAATTTCATCAAAATCTGTCCAGTGATGCTCGTGATGCGGTAACAGACAGACAGGCAGACAAAAATTCTAAAAACTGTAGATTCGGACTCTGTATCGATAATAATGTCTATTTAAATTAGATTTCCCAAAAAATATTTAATGTACAGATTCGACTTAGTTACAATTTTATTATATTATGTATAGATAAATGGAATAAGTTTAAAGTATAAAGTTTTTATTTAATGGAAAACCAATATTTCTGTAAATGGCTTTCCTTATTGCTTAGCTTGACAAAAATCCCCAGCCTTCAAATGAGAGGATTTCCTCTGCCGAGCGTATTCCACAAAGCCTTCATTAAAATGCAATATTTCTTTTCCAGGAAACCTAATAAAAGAATGGCTGGCTCACGCGAGAGACTGCTCTACGACCGTCATTTAGATGTCGATTATGAATATCAGAGGAGACGACGACATGAAGCCAGGTTCGAAACGGATCGATCGGAAACAATCCGCATACGTACTGAACGCTTCGATCAAATCGAGCGACCTCGGCGGAAGAATGGATATGTTTTTGAAGATATCTACTCAGATTTTGATGAAGCTCAAGGACGGCTATCCCTATTTAGACCAATAAGACCAGAATATTTGAACCTACAAAGCTCATATGACAACAAATACAATTCCCTACCACGAACTAACTATTACAACGATGATAGAAGTCGCCGATATAAAAAAGATTATTACGACTTCAGAATCGAAGCTGAACGAAGAAGGCCGCGGGAATCTTATGAAATATACAAACCTACGCGAATCGAGACCAATCGGAACGAGATCAGGCTAAAAGAACGAAAAGTCCCTTCGAACGACTCTAGACTCGTCCAAGAACGACCTAAAAATGTAGCTGTTTGTAAACCACTACGTTTAGCTGAACGTAACGCGAAATATTGGACGACGGATCCACCGCAAAAGGATAAAAAGCCGAAACGCGATGAGAATAAAAAGATAGTTAAATTTTCAGAAGTTTCTGGTTGTAGAAAAATGGTTATTGATGATCCAGTTTGTGGAAGAAAAGTGGTTGCGGTCCGTGAATTAGAGGTTTCGTTGGACCAGATGATACAGAATGGTTACTTTGAGAAGCACAACATACCGATACGCTTGCCAGACAAAAAGGAAGAGATAAAGAGCGCTGTTCCGAACGGAAAGTGCTTATCTGCTAACGAAACGCCGGCGCCTAGAAAGTCTCGACATTTGCCACAGGTAAGTTTGTCGTAGTACGATGTAAAGCTTTGGAAATATTTTATAATACAGCAGCTTTGACCAATCTTTTACTAAATCTAAGTAAGAAACACCCATAGGTAAGATATTGAGAATCGAATCTTGATCTTCCAGTGCAATGTACAAAAATCCTGCAAAATACAGTGTAATATTACAGTAAAATAATTAAAATATTTTTATTTTAAATTGATTTCTACAATGACTTAATGCACTTAAATCTAGTAAAAAAAATACAGTGAGGCTCTCAGCCAAGCTAAGTTTAGAAATTCACTAAAGAAATAAATTAAAGTACGTACCTACCTAATATTTGTTTGCCGTATCACTCTCTACAATTCTGATTTGTATTCCTATTTCCTAATGTCGGTTACACTTCAAAGGTGTGTTTATTAGTTTAAATAAAAAAATCGATATTCAACTCGGCCATGCCATTTTAGTTTTTGCCAAAAGCGTTGTGAAGTTAGGTTTTTCCACTATAAGCTACATAAAACACATAAGGATTTCACCATCAACGTCCTCTTGAAAAATCTTTTCGTATATCGCAAAGGTTAGAGTTTAACATCTTTTATGTTTCAATTTAAATTTTCAATATCCAATAACAATTTCTACGAGCATTAAATATTATCTCGGGTCAAGCTGCATAATTATAGTCATTAGACCGCTGTTACTGTCGAGAGGCCGTCGGCTGAGTAACGATGCCCTCCACAGACCCTTGGAGGGTTTACGATATTTATATAATATCGTTTTACATCCATACTATTATTATAAATGTGAAAGTGTGTTTGTTTGTTTATTTGTTTGTCCTTCTTTCACGTCGAAACAGAGTGACGGATTGTCGTGATTTTTTGTGTGGAGATAATTGGAGAACTGGAGAGTGACATAGGCTTTTTGTTGAGGGAGATTATCTAATTCCCACGAAAAAGCACGTTATAATACAATCCAAAAAAATATTTATGAACGGAATAACTTAACACTTGGTATTACTGCTCTTCAATAAAATTAAATAAATATGTATTTAAGCATTTTTCGAAATTCATCCTATAAGGGGGTAAAATCGCGGATGAAAGTTTGTATGAAACTAACTTTTTAGAGATTTTTTTGTAGTTTAAGCGCGAACGAATCTCTCCTTCGCTCTCCTTCTCTCTTCGGTCTCCTCGCTTCTGCTAGTTTATTATAAATGTTTTACTTCACTAAGAATAATAATTTCTAGCAACCACAAAGGGTCAAAATTCTTCTCCAAAAAGAAGATTTTAGCCGGTTTCATATAGAGAAAATGAGAAGAACTATACCTACTTAATTAGTTATAAGTACTCACTTTTCATGTTAAGAAAACCATATAATTATTTATATCGGTTATTTTAGGGTAAGAACATGATTTAACATTGACTTATAATTAAAAAAAATATACGTATTATAACCATTAATAATTTATTATAATTTTCCCCCATTGTGGAACAATCAGCCCCTAACGGTAATATTTTGATAAAAATTATTTTTGAAAATCGCCACACTATTTACGTAGATATCGCTTCGCACCGACAAAAAAAATCCGAATAGAATAATCGAAATAAACCGGAATTGTTCGAATTGGTCAACCAAAAAGTGTTTTTGAGGATAATATTTTTGCTAAAGACATATTTTTGAATTCCTTCATTATCATCTATATTTTCAAAGTCAACAGTGATGCCATAAAATAGTCAAAACGAATTGGAATGAATATAAACAAGACAATAAATACATACATATATAGTACAACTTTGATTCCCCATACAAACTTTCATCCCCTTTTTCACTCAAATAAGGGATGATTTCCGGGACAAATATCCTATGTCCTTCCCAGGTGTCAAACTATCTTCTTAGGTAATTTCATCTAAATCGGTCCAGTAGATCCAGAGATGACACTCTACAACGTCACATACTCACAAACTTTACCTCTTTATAATATTAGTATAGAGTATAGATATACATACATAAGTAAAATATAATAACAAATTCTCATGCAATACCTACTGGCAATTTTGTCAGGGTTAAAATTTAGATACTATGCACACGAATTTTTAACACACTCGCTGCATAGTTGTCACTTTTGTACCGCAATACGAAGGTAACATTCTGCATTTTTTAATTATTTTAGCGAAGAAAATTCGCATTTAGGACGAGAATTTACAAGCGCGAGTTACGCGCAGACAACAACCAAAATTAACTATGAATTAAAAAAAACGCATCTACACAAGCAAGTGAAACCGCAGTAAGTAACTAGTAACTCTAAAACCAATCAACCTTCAATGAATTTCAATACAATACTTCAATTTCATCCCTGGCATCGAAGTTGTGACCTCTGTCTCCATAAGCACATACGTTGTCACTGTGCCAAACGTTCGTTTAATGAATTGTTAGACAGAATCTCAACCCAATTTCAATCAAGTTATCTGGCTAATATTTTGCCTTGTCCCTTAGAAAACTAGGTCGAGCACCATTTTAACGAGGCCTTTTAGCTTTGGTAAAGACAAACATAAAAAAATTTGTATGGCAGTTTGGATTTTTAGATTTTCAGTACTGCTCTTTTTTTCTTGCATTTTTTAGTACTGGCAATCTACTTAATTTACAGCTAATTCATGCCAAATATTTAGTTCAAATTCATTGTTTATCTATACTAATATTATAAAGAAGTAAAGTTTGTGAGTTTGTGAGGTAATCTCTGGATCTAATGAACTGATTTAGATGAAATTTAGTAAAAAGATAGATTGAGACCCTGGGAAGGACATAGGATATTTTTTATCCCGGAAATCATCCCTTAAGGGGGTGAAAATGGGGATGAAAATTTGTATCGGGAATCAAGCAAGGGACGAACCCGTGCGAAGCGAGGGTGAGTCGCTAGTTAAACATATATTAAACACAAGGAATATACAAATGAGAGTAAATACTTTTATTTCTAAAAAAAGAACAATGTTTCCGAAAATTTAGGTATTTGGATAAAATATTATTACTACGTAAATGCAAAAAAGTTTTCTAATCCGACTTAGTTCAATAAATTAGCAGATACAAACAAACAAACTCTTCACCATTATAACGTTAATATAAATTACTAGCATTGCCCGCGGCTCCGCCCGCGTTCAGATGACCAAAAACCAAATTCTTAGGTTTTACATATTAGTATACTCTTACATTGCAGTTTTTGAATTTTTTCTCAGAAATGCGATATTTTCCCGCGGTAAAAAGTATCCTATATGTTGACCCGGTTAACCAGCTATCACCATACCAAATTTCATCAAAATCCCTCCAGTGGTTTTTCTGTGATGCGGTAACAGACAGACAGACAAAAATTCTAAAAACTACAGATTCGGCCTCTGTATCGATAATAATGTTTATTTCAATAAGATTTTCCAAAAAATATTTAATGTACAGATTCGGCTTGGTTAAAATTTTATTATATGTATAGATGATAAGCATATTAGATCGATATATACACTATTTTCAAACCAAACTACACTACACTAAAAAGAAATTCTCGACCTTATTACTTGAGTTATCTCGTAGATAGACTCTAGGCCTTAAAACCTTAGCCTAAACAAATTCAATGTTAAGTTTAAACTTAACCTGATTCCTATCGCGTTATCTTAACTTGGCTAATATTAGTGAAAATAGGTCGAGTATCATTTTGTTCGCATTTGACTACGAACTTACGAATATGGTTGGATTAGAAACTTTCCAAATCATTAAACTTCTTTCTTTACTAAGTTGCTTTATAATGAAAAGTTTTAAATATAGCTTACTAGTGGGTAATGGGTAGTAATCCTACTAATATCATAAATGCGAAAGTTTGTGAGGTCTGGATGTATAGATATTTGTTAGTCTTTCACGCAAAAACTACTGAATGGATTTTAATGAAATTTTACAATAATATAGCTCGTACATCAGAATAACACATGGAAAAATGTATGGTTCCCGTGGGATAGATTTGGTTTTGTTTTCTAGAGGCGATTTCGAGCGAAACGAGCATGAACCGCTAGTAATATTATATGATATTTAATGGGTTTTTTGTTAAACCTGTGGACATATTTTGATTTGTTTTTTTTTTTGTTTTAGAGGAGTAAATATTATACTTTTGGAATTTATATATATATACCTACTAATACATTATGTCTATAGAAAGTATCGAAATCGATGTTTTGTAATGAAGTAAATAATATCATAAACGCAAAAGACATCTAGGGATATTTCCGATAAAAGCGAGAGAAAGTCATTAGTCTTTAATCGAGCTACTATTATATATGTTACAGTTTGCATGTATGTATGTTTATTACTTCTTCAAGCTGAAACTACTAAACGGATTTAGATAGTACACAGATAGACTATGGCCTGGAGTAACATATCTATGGCTACTGATAGACACCCAGGCGGACAAAACGAGGGTATATTGTAGTATAGTAATTTTTTTTTATTTTTATTTTTTTATTTATTCCACTTCAGTAGGAAAAGGGAACCGGATCGATGATTTTTCAGAATTAGTATTGGCTTTATTATGGATGCTAAAGTGACATAGTCCCCACTCGGTATGTGCATTTTCTGGAATATTAGTTTATTGGTGAAACTTACCATAAGTTGAAAAATGAAATATATGTATATAAGTATTAAATAATTATTTAAAAATTAAAAATAGCCAAATTACTACTTTATTATAATGGATGAACTACTATTATAAATGCAACATTTTGTACGTGTATGTCTGTGTGTGTAAGTGTGTTATTCTTTAACACTGAAACAGCTGGAATGAATTCGATGTAACTTAGTATACATAATACTTTCATAGATTTACGCGAATACCTATTTGACATTTAAAAAAAATGGGTTTTCTCTTCTGTTTGGTCTCTCCCATGACCATAATTACCGTAAAGCATTCGAAACGTCGGGAACCAAAAATCAAAATAAATCCGCGAAATAATCCGAAAAGACAGTTTTTTCAAAACTTAGTATACAGACACGTT